CAAGCAGGTCGGCAGCAGCAGCAGAGGCAACAGAGGGTAGCAAGGGGGAAGGAGAGCACCCCTCAAAGATGGGGGTGCGAGGGTCACCACGAGAAGCCCCTACAGCGACTATGCTCTTCTCCGCTGCGAGGAGGGCCTTCTCGAGGACGTCGACGGTGAGGGTGGTGGGACAGACTGCGAGAAAGTGGTCCCTGACTACGCGAAGGGAGTCAGGGAGGCGTGCGACTACGTAGTAGAGAGTGATGTACATGGGGGGGGGGGTTCTTAGCGCAGAACTCAGCAGGAAGGGCGGCGCGGTAGCGAGTGTCACTAGTGCGGAGGTGCGTAATGAGGTCAGCGATAGTGGGAAAGGCAGAGAGGTCAGGAAAGAGGTAGGGAAGCATGAGACGGCTCAGTGCAGCAGTGGCAGGGGAGGAGTAGCGCGCAACTACAGCGTCGTACAAGGTCTGAGCACTCTTGTACTGACTAAAGTGCGCGCGCTCAGAGGTAGGGAGGTGGCGACGCACAGCAAGACGTGCAGCAGCATCGCGGGTGGCCCACTTAGAGCGCACGGTGGGATCAGCATCAGCAGCAGGAGCAGGAGAGGCGCCAGAGGTAAGGTCAAAAAGAGAGAGGTCGTCTGCCCTATCGCACTGTAAAAACAACTGCAGGTCGTCTACCCAGACCTCAAAGTCAATGGCGCGACCCTCAGCGTCAAAAGCTAGGACACTAGGGGTAGCCATGACGACGACAGCGAAGCAGTGTAAGCAGTAGGGGAAGAGCACGCAGTGACAGTGGGACTGTGCTCACCAGGCAGGTCAGGCTGGGCAACTCTGCAGAAGGGCGGCTCGGCGACTCAGCGACTCGGCTGCTGGGCGGCTCGGCTCCCGGGCGGCTCGGCGGCAGGGCGGCTCTGGTGCAGGGCGGCTCGGCTCCGGGCGGCTCGGCGGCAGGGCGGCTCGGCTCTCGGGCGGCTCGGCGGCAGGGCGGCTCGGGTGCGGGGCGGCTCGGCTGCACTGCTGCTCGGCTGCTGCAGGTGGGCGGCTCGGCTGCTGCAGGTAGGGTGGCGGGGCCGCGAGACCAAAGGCGGCGGGGCCGAAGTAGCAGGGCCGTCAGGTGCAGAGGCGGGGACGGCGGGGCCGCGGCTGGTGGAGCGGCGGGGCCGGCAGAGAGGGCGGCGGAGCCGCGGCTGAGCAGGCGGCGGGGCCGGCGGCGTAACGAGCGGCGGGGCCGCGTCGTAGTCGGCGGCTGGGCCGCGTCGTAGCGGGCGGCGGGGCCGCGTCAGAGCAGGCGGCGGGGCCGCGTCAGAGGTGGCGGCGGGGCCGCGTCAGATCAGGCGGCGGGGCCGCGTCAGAGGTGGCGGCGGAGCCGCGTCAGATCAGGCAGCGGGGCCGCGTCAGAGGTGGCGGCGGGGCCGCGTAAGAGGTGGCGGCGGGGCCGCGTCAGAGCAGGCGGCGGGGCCGCGTCGTAGCGGGCGGCGGGGCCGCGTTAGAGCAGGCGGCAGGGCCGCGACGTAGCTGGCGGCGGGGCCGCGATCGGGTGGCGGGGCCGCGACGTGGCGGCGGGGCCGCGATCGGGAGGCGGGGCCGCGTCAGAGGTGGTGGCGGGGCCGCGTCTGAGGGACGGCGGGGCCGCGAGGGAAAGGGCGACTCGAGGGGTCGCTAAAAAAAAGGTGCGCGCCTCGGGGCGCGCTTCGGTGGGCCCTAGGCAACGTTCCCACAGGGAACTCGCTCTATACCATGTGAGAAATAAATGACCAGGAATGAGGATGACTAAGTCAGTGTTGGGTACAAATACAACCCTAGAAAGCTGTACCCCATATGTGCTACCCCACTATAGCCTACAAACATGCATCAGCTATAATAATCTGACAACGCTGATAATGCAGGAGATGTTGACAACAGACGCTCTCGCATTGGATTCGTTTTTCAACTCCAACCTACTAGGCTCATTTCATGGAACTCTCATAAGCAGGAACTCATCACCCTTTCGTCAACCGATGAAGAATTCATCGCCGTCAGCGCAGCTGTTCGCGAAGGGTTGTACCTGATGGAGCTTCTGTAGGAAGCGAAAATGACGATGAACGGGCACTTCACGTTACTCTGCGATAACCAGAGTGTGATCAAGATCGCGAACAAGCCCGGTTTCGTTAACCGCACGAAACACATCGCCCTTCGTTACTTCTTCGTTAAGGACGAAATCGACAAGGGCAAGGTCAAGCTCACGTACTGCCCGACTGGTGACATGGCAGCCGACTTCCTGACAAAGAAACTGCCATGTCAACAGTTCCAGCACTGCGCCAACCTTTGCGGGATCACCAAGAAGTCCCAGGTGGCCCACCTTTAGGAATGAAGGGGAATGTTGGAACAACCGAAATGTTATTATAAACATTCACGAAGGTTCTCCACTCTCGCGTCACTCCATAACGAAGTGCACGCCTGTACTAGTACCGCAATAGCTGATATAGAGCACGCGGAAGTTCGAGGGTCACCCGAAGGTCAACAGTCGAAGAAAGTCAACGGTCGTTACCCAGTAACCGCACAAGGCAGTTGCGAAGTGCAACACGGTAACTGTCTAGAATAGCAATAGTCGTGGGTTACTGTCTCAGAGTACATGGCTAGCTAGGAATGATATTTGTATCCTTGTACTTTTATCTTATAATCATCTTGTCCTCTTTCAATTAATCAACAAGGACATTATAGAGACTTCACAGTTCTCTTCCTTATACTTGGCAACCTTATCGTATTCACTACGATCCTTCAGTCCTTACATCATTACCCCCCTTCGCCACAGCAAGCTTGTAGCGTGGGAGGGAGCTCATATCGGAGATGCAAAGCACATGTCATATTGCTTTTGTAAGATGCACTACATTTACATGCAGACATCAACAGCCGTAACTGAGCGCATTAAGTGATGGTAGGGCGCAAAAATATCGTAATGTAACCAGGAGAAGGGTCTTCGTGACTTGTGATGATGATCTCGGAGGACAGAGCTCAGGGAGCATACGAGCTTTGCACTTCAACCCCATTTCTCCACCTGGCACGCTCTCAACCCACTCGATAACTTCATGGCTGCGACTCGCCTTTCTGTCACTCCGTGCTGTGAACTCCGGAGTCGCTATATGGAGAAAATTTGGCAGTCGTTAAGAGCCGCGACATTGCAAGTTCCATCGAGAATGCGCGATGTGAGCAACGAAGAGGTTCCCTGTTGCTCTCCGATCCATCCACGATCGACACTCACTTACGAGGCAGTCAGCTTCAAGCAGCCGAAATTCCCGACCAAATGCGCTTCAGTTCAGTCTTGTGCACCCGCCTCTCCCAGGCCGGGTTTTTGTCAAAACTTGTGCCATCCGGCTCCTTGTCCTCCGCACAACGACCAACGCTGAAACCCACCTTCTTCCAGTTCAACTACTTGAGTTCTCTACTAACGGGACGGTCAGTTTACGCCAGCTCTCGGCGCTTGCTTACCAGCTTCATTCCTTCCCGCCTGAATTGCTCCCTCGCAATGCCTGTGCTGGATCGTCTTCCCAAGATGCTCGACTCATGCGAGTTGGCGTTGACGGGTGACGAGCTCACCTCGTTCGGACACTCCATCCTCACTGACGTGCCTTAGAACGTGACTGTCACACCCATGGATGAACCCGTCGGCTGCTCCGGCGTTTTTCTCGGAGCTCGTTTTGACTCCGCTAAGAGTCGCCACGTTTTTCCAATTGGAACTCTCAGGTTGGAGCAAGCGTTTGTGTCAATAGTTCTCGTGGATCTGCCGCAGCTACTCATGTCGTCTTTTCCTAATCTGTGCAGAAACCTTCGGTTTTTGTGCTGCCACCGCTTCAAGCTGTGGTGGATGACTCAGCGAGTTGGCAGTAACGGAAAAGAAGTGCCTAACGAGACACAGTTTTTGCTCTTGGAGACAGATCGTGACAGTCAATCTTCGATTGAGCCAGTTTACGTTGTGATGCTCCCTCTCGTTGATGGATCTTTTCGAGCAGCCATTCAGGGCTCATCCGATAATATGCTTGAAATCTGCTCAGAGAGCGGTAAGTCTAAAACGTTATGGTTAGTGTGCTGGTACTGGGCCTTAGTGTTGTCCCTGACGTACTCGTATGACTGCAATCACAGAAGATCCAGATGTACGAACCTTCGAAAGCACGAAGGCTGTTCTTGTAAACGCGGGCAGGAACCCCTACAAGCTACTGAATGAGTCTATAATGTTTGTCGTTCAGATGGGGTCCGCCTTTTTTTCCTCGCTTCAACGAAGGCGCTCATAAGGTGGAAATTTCTCGTGTTTATGCAGGTCTCTTGAGAAGCACTCAGGAAACTTCCAGCAGAGGGAGAAGAAGACTGTAAGTATTCTTTGTAGCTTTTTTTCTCTGTATATTACTTCTGTAGTGAATCTCACGTTGTTCTGTGTGTTTTTTCAGCTCCCGGGATTTGTTGACTACTTCGGATGGTGCACGTGGGATGCCTTCTACACTGACGTTGATAAAAATGGAATTCGCAAGGGCCTGTCCAGGTGAGCAGAAGCACAGGAACCGGTCCTGCTGTGTAGGTCTCATCGTTAACAAATATCTACATGACCGTTCCACGTTCTCGCTGTCTACAGTCTTGCAGAGGGAGGAGTACCAGCAAAGTTCCTGATTATTGATGATGGTTGGCAAGCGGTTGCTGCTGATTTTCACGCGAAGGCGACTCTGACTCCTGAAACACAGTAAGTTTGTCATGTTTTCTTGACCAAAATCTTTTATGTTCCTGGTTGATTCTAACAGGGCTTTCTTGTTTATATTATGCAGGCATTTCAGCCGGCTTGTGGATATCAAACCCAACGAGAAGTTCCACTGTGACAATGAACAGGAGGCTTGTGCGGACGGCCATGGAAATCTGAAAGAGCTGGTTACTTCAGCAAAGGACGATTATGGCCTGAAGTGAGCTAACTACCTGCACCCGGCCATGGGTGGTGTAATAAATTGTTGTTGACTGTTCCAAATAACGGTGTGCAGATACATCTACGTCTGGCATGCTCTCATGGGATACTGGGGAGGCGTCAACCCAACTGCTGCTTCCACGCAAAAGTTCCTGGCAGCTCTGAAATACCCTCACTTTTCCCCTTCTGTCCTGGACAAGCCTGACACTGTGCTGGACCTTATAACCAAGCATGGTCTAGGGGTAATCGGCCCATCCAAGATCCACGAGTTTTACGACGAGATGCACAGCTACCTGGCCTCGAGTGGCGTGGATGGGGTGAAGGTGGATGTTCAGAGTATGTTGGAGCTGGTTGGTGGAGGGCATGGAGGAAGGGTTGAAATTGCAAGGGCATACCACACAGCTCTGGAGGCATCAGTGGCCAAGAATTTCAAAGAGAATGGTGTGATTGCGTGCATGAGCCATAGTACCGATGGCATTTACATGTACGTGGCGTTTCACTTGCTGCACCTTGTCTGAGTGACAGAATTTGATAACATCTGCCATTTTCACTCATGCTTATGAGCTTGCAGGACCCAGCGGACAGCAGTGGTCCGAGCTTCTGACGACTTTTGGCCGAATGATCCTGCATCTCACACAATCCACCTGCTTGCGGTAAGGGATTTGCCCGTATCCACAATCTTTCACCACTATCTTCGTTTCTGTTCTCTATAACCTGTCATGGATGTTCAATTACAGGTGGCCTACAACAGCATGTTTTTGGGAGAATTCATGCAACCTGATTGGGACATGTTTCATGTGAGTCCTTGCGTTCCATTCTGTTTTTTTTCTTTCTTGCACCAGCCAATCTCCAGTAACAGCTGATCTTGCTTGTGCCTCTTCGCAGTCCCTCCATCCAGCAGCTGAATTCCATGCTGCTGCGAGAGCTGTTGGAGGTTGCCCGGTCTATGTAAGGTAAGCATTTTGCATACATCTCTAGCGATTCAGCAAGGTCTGTGAGTTGGTGTCATGAATCGTTATGGTCGTTGCCAGGTAACTGATCCCAGTTTTGTGACTGATTCATTCAAGTCTGTTGTGCTCTCAATGCAGTGACAAGCCTGGCCAGCACAACTTTGAGGTGTTGAGAAAGTTGGTCCTCCACGATGGGTCCATTCTTCGAGCCAGGCTCCCTGGGCGACCCACCAGGGATTGCTTGTTTGTGGACACAGCACGAGATGGTCGAAGGTAAGAGCGAGCACTACCACCTATTTTCCCCCTTCCTCTCCCCTCCCCCCACCCCAACCCTCCACCCTCTTCCTTCCCTGAATTGATGGTGGGGGGGGGCACAAGTTTGTTACTACTACACACCAGTTTCTTGTGTTAATGTTCACCTCTCGTTTGTTTCAGTTTGCTAAAAGTCTGGAACATCAACGCTTGCAATGGAGTCCTTGGAGCTTTCAATTGCCAGGTATTAAGGGCTCAACCTGACTGCGGTCCTTATAACAACTGACTACTGTGTTCTTTGCGAATAACCCTCCATGGAATCGGCTGCAGGGCGCGGCCTGGTGCAAAGACTCACGCAAGTACAAGTTTCATGATTCCGAGTCCAAGGAGCTTGCGGGAACCATCTGCGCTGCCGACATAGAAGGGCTGGAGCAACTCACTGGGCCTGACTGGGAAGGAGACGTTGCAATTTACTCCCACAACTCAGGTGCCACTCCTGTCTAACTTATGGAGGGTTACGTAGTGCTGACTTCACGTGTACGACAACTGACTGCTTTTCTGCCTGTCACAGGAGAGCTTGTTGATCTTCCTTTGGGAGCATCCCTCGTCACCATGCTCAAGCGACTGGAATTTGAAATCTTCACAGTGTCTCCCATCCAGGTAGGGTTGCTGCGGATAATCAGGGCTCATCTGATGCTAGAAAGCAACTGTGTCCACGGTTTCTCAACACGTCTGCTTCATGCCTCCTTCCCTTGTTGCAGAGGGCTGGGCATGTCAAGTGTGCTCCTATTGGTCTGGCTGATATGTACAACAGTGGTGGAGCCGTGTTGTCCACATCCACACACCAGAAGAACTTTCCAGCTTCCACCACCGCTCTCCACTGGATGAGCATTTGTGTCAAGGGCAGTGGCAGGTTCATTGCCTACGCTTCAACTGTTCCAGCCGAGTGTTTTGTTGATGGGGGAAAGACTCAGTTTACCTATGATCAGACAAGTGGACAGGTTGAGTTGGAGCTCCCGTGGAGTGCTAAAGGTAACCAGGTTGACTTGCTGTGGCAGTGAGGGTCTGCCATCATCATCAATGTGTTGTTCATCCCTTCAATCAATATCGTATTGTTCACGTTTACTTTTTCAGGAGCAGAAAAATATACGGTAGATGAATGAATGAATAAACTAATCTGGTTGTACAATGCCCTATGGAGCTAACTGACGCTTCACATAGAACGGGGACTACTCCTAGGACCCGAAGCCCTATGACATCCTCTGGAACCCCGGAGGAGCAAACTTCAGTCTGCTGGAGGGGAAAAAGACAGTGCCTATTCTACTCAAGACTTCTCAGGTGATGTTGTACCATAGGTACTCCTTTTCTACCAAACCTCAGTACGCTGAGGTTTACTCCAGACAAAGCTCGTCTGGGGCCCCTCTTTCCCTGGCAGCAGCTGTTCTTCTGACGAGTCCACCGTGTTCACAGCCTGCCAACCCGCCATTTGCCGGAACCACCCAGTCACCTCCCACGCACCCGCGGCTTTCCCTCCTGCTGCTGGTGAGGTGTCTATATCGTCCTCAAGGCTCCGCCATGCGGCCATTTCCACCTGATGCGGCTGCTCCTGGGGTGCTCTCGCAGCCGCGCTAGCCCAGGCTGCTACATCCACGGCGCCAGATACCACCTGCCTTGCCTGCAGCGTCACCGTCGGCGTAGCCGGCACTGGCAACGGCGCTGGCACAAAATCCGCCGCCGGCGCTGCGGCTTGCTTGAAGGCTTCGCCGCCGGCGCTGACAATTGTGGCGCAGGGCGCGGAGGATGCGGGGGCGGGGGAAGGGAGGCGGACGATGCGGTCGGTGGTTGCGGAAGCGAGGAACTGGCTCATCACGCTCGGACTAAGCATCGTGGGGGAAGCGAGCGGGACCGTGGGCGCAAGAGGAATGACTAGGCGTTTGGGGGGAGCGATGGGGGCGGATTGAGGCGCGCGAACTGGCGTAGCGACCCCGTTGCTGCTGCGAATTATGTGCACGGGACGGTAACCGCCTTTCGTCGCCCCATGCGACGATGACGTCGACGACGACGACGAAGGAGGTGCTTTTGTCTCAGAACTATCAGCGCTTGCGGCGCTGCCGGCGCTGCTGCTGCCCCAGCTGAAACTGTCGCTGCCGCAGTCGCTTGCGGCGTCACCGGTGCTTGCGACGCTGCCTGCGACGCTGCTCGCTGCTGCGGCATCGAGGCCCTGAAGGTCGGGAATTGGAATATCCGGCATGTCCTCGTCGTGTAGTGATCCGAACCCACCAAAAGAGACAGGTAGAGGGCTCGACGGCTCGCTGGCATCGGGGGAGAAAGGGCCCGCGCATCGGGGAAACGTCGGCGAGTCGACCATTTCCGCTAGCGGGGGGTTGATGCATATGGGCGGAATGCGCAGGTGCCGGGGAGTTGTGCGCATCAAGGAATCCCCCATGGGAACGAGCTGAGGAAGGGGCTGCGCGGAGGCGGAAGAGGCGCAGGGTTCACAGGAGGCGGAGGAGGAGGGAACGGCGGAGAAGGAGGTGGATTCGGTGGCAGGGAGAAAGCGGTGAAGATTTTCCGCCACGAGAATCATTGTGAATTGTGTTTATATCCAATCAAAGGGGCGGGAGGGAGACTGTCGTACGGCGACGGAGAGCTGTACTCAAAGGTTCGTCGAGGTGGCGTGAAGAGAGGCCGATTAATTTGCTAGTTGTAAAGCAGCGCCACGAAAAGGCTACGAATAAGCGGCAGAAGGTACTACAACGAGACGCCTAAGTTACGATCGAGTGGTTCGCGTCAGACTATCTGTAGTTAGCAATTCAGCTATTTCTTACGGTGAGTAAACACGGGTCTAGCTAGATGTGAAAGAAGATGAGGAAGGCGTGGATGCGCAAATTACTATCGGAAGGGCTACTTTGCTCCTTGCGATGCACGTCAAGTCCGAAAAGGGAGAACAAGACGGCTTCGGTGTACACAGCACACCCCAGAAATAATCGGCACGAGCAGGAGAAATGGCAGAAGAGAGGGGAGCATGAAGGGACTGTGGCAGGCAAGCCCCAAACTGCTTCACTTGAAGGAAATGGGGGGATTGATCGCCTAGTTTGCTCGTGTACAGTGTACACTCACTCGTGCGAGCTCGAACTTACCACTTCCGTTCAGAAATGCTGGTCCCCTTGCCTTCGCGGTGCTGTTCCGGAGGAACGTAATCCTACGACTCTACAGTAAACAACAGAACAGTACACGTCAGCTTCTCTGGTGGGTGTGGGGTGTGTGGGGTGGAGCGCCGCCAACGACGATCTGCCAGGTTTCTGTGGGTGTGTTGAAAGAGGCTTGGCTCGCACTGGATTGGTTTGGGAAAGGTACAGTGCAGGGGTGATTTGGGGAGGAAGGCCGGGGAGGGGGTTTCAAATTCCGAACGTCCTGGATTCGGCGCCCAGGCACCAGGCGTGTCGTGAGCGAAGTCCTTCCTCCCCCAAACACATCGATGCTCAGGGTGCTGTGCATCCGCGTTGCACACAAGGCTGACGATTCAAGGGCAAATGCCCTTAATGCCCTGAACATTAAGGGCTGGGTTCGGCCCAGCTTCCGAATTTTAATGGCTGGCTTTGAGGGCAGCCCTTTCCCGCAAGTGCTGGTTGTGGGCCTGACCCGGATTTTAAGTGCAGTTCCCGCGTCTAGCCCTTATCGTCCCATACTAATACCTCCCTCCCTCCCAATCGCTCACCAGTCCCCCCACCTCCTCCCATACACTCCCCTATTCCTTTTCCCATCCCCGTAAAATCCATCGACATGTTTCGAACCTCAGACTTTTGCCTAGCTGGCTCTTGGTAGTTTGCCTAGGATACGGACCCGAAGAGATGTAGGTTTTCCCTAGCAAAAGTGTAGGAAAGTTGGTAGCCCTGATTTCAAGTGCCAGGTTTTCTCTCAGCCCGTAAATTTCAGGGCAACTTTTGGGGCACCTCAGCCTCTCAAGTTTCTGGCTCCAAACCAATCGACAGCCCTGATTGCACGCACACCGTCCCTTCCACATCCATTTCCATCCAAACCGAACCAAGCCATCCTCTTGCGAGGAAGAGGGACAAGTTGATGATGACGTGCGATCAGGTTGGCAACAAGGCCAATCGACGTCGAGCCAGCATTTTGCCGACAGAGCCGAAGGAGCCGCCCATCAGCCCTCCACGGCCTATGCGCAGCGCCAACGAGGGAGAACCACAGCCAAGCTAAACTTGCTTGTTCAGATGCCACAGCATGGCAAAGGCAACTGTATGAACGTCGAGGAACGTTCCTGATCAAGCATGCTCGAAAAGGTGAATGGCGTGGGTGAATGCTTGTGAGTGGGGGGAGAACGTTGTTGCTCGTTACCCAAACTAAGGAGAGGGTACGGTAAAGTTTTTCTTAAATAAAACTTCAAGTTCGCTTATGAACACTTTCAACATATTTCCAGGTCATTGCAGGGCAACCCACGAACAGATGATAACATTATTCGACTAAAGATAGTGAATGAAGAATGTTAAGGTAATTTTTCATTTCATATCCTGACCAGATCTGTAACAAAAATATAGAATTTTTTTGGCGCGGTTCGGTTTGGCGTGTGAACGATGTGGGCCCACTCGTTCCCTCCTGAACTACTCCATGCGACACGGCTCCCGAGATTCTTCTCAATACAGTACCTGCAGAAGAGCCTCTCCCGGGAAGACGTTCGTGACTTTCCTTGCCAAAACTGGACTGTACCTTCGCAATGCTAGTACAGGATTGGTGGGAACAGTTTCAATGCTCTCGTCTCGTAACGGCAAGATAGGTCCAAACTTACTTATTTGCTTTCAGCATTCACACCATGGTTTTAAGTGAAACCACGATTGGTGCCCCTCACCAGAAGGGTTACAGTGGCGAAATATTCCTTGAGAAGTAGGACCACGAGAGTCAGAAACGACGATGCCAGAACAGAACGATAAGTGAAATGTATGAAGAACGTCGAGCATCAACAATAACCAGCTTAACATTGCGCACCTGACGCAGGTACCGAGGTTTGTCTGGAAGCGCAGGTAGAGACATAGTGTTTTGGCCCTCCCAGCTCGAGTACGTCCCTAAAAGTAGACGCTATGAGCGCTTTATAACGACACCCATTGAGAGAGAGTGCACTTCTATTCAGCACCCAATCGAAGCCCAACTGTAAACAATAACATTCACTCTAAAAGTATATCCCACATACTATTTGTATATGAAAGGGGGGTTTCAAGCTATACATTTTCATGAACGAGAAATTACAACGTTTTCTTACTGATTAGATACAAGCAGGGATTTAAATCATCTACGTCTTCAAACCAGCATCCATGACTCACCAGTACGAGCGGCTAGCATTCTAGGCTTACCATTCAATATATATCCAACTGTCCATGCGAAACAACGACGAATACAGTCATCGCACAGATAAAGGAGGCAACCATTGGCAAAATCAGGGCTCAAAATTGGTTAGGCCCACCCTAGGGAATCAGGGTTCCAGCCCCTCCTTA